ATCAGCCTGAAGATTATACAGTGCATAACTGTACTGTACTTTGTTAAGATTGATTTCAAAACTGAACCTTAAAAAGCGTTAATGAATATGTTGTACAAAATCAACATTTACAGTAATTTATGTCCATATAATAATTATGTTTTGGGCATGTACCGTACTCTACACATTCTATTCACGAAAGCTCGCATGCTTGAATATATGAGAAACCTGTTTTTAAGTGAACTTGCAATATTCTGTAAATCTGTTTGCATCTACTTTGGCGATTGCACACATATTAGGCCAAGCATGGTCAACATACGGCCCGCGGGTCAGATCCGGCCCGTCTAATGAATTTATGGGGCCCACGATCAATCTTTCAATATTAGGTATTGAAGTCCGAATAGCTCCATGAAAAATTCTGACGCCTAAAAAAAAGGTCAACAACTCACTGCGTTTAGAGTTAACTCTCCATTAATTACAAATCTCGTAAGTAAAGCATAGAGTGTTGATAAAGCATGATAATTTGAAAAATGTATCTGTAATCTCTATCTACAATTCAGTCTCTACGGGGTGACATCACAAATGATATCTCCACCGCCTCAAACTCTTCCTAGGGCAGCCTCTGGTTCGGCCCGTGGAAAAAGTTTTCTTTCCAATTCGGCCCGGGGGCAAAAACTGTTTGCCACCCCTGTATTAGGCACTGGGTGCTGTAACAAAATGAGTAATTTTTTCTTTTTTTTATCATACCCCTCTCGATCCTACAGCGAACTTCCCGTATGTAGCAACTCCACGTCTCATCTCCCACTTTCACTTGGATCACCGCAGGTCTTTAACATACCACATGTCCAAATGAATTTCGACTGTGGAAAAGCAGTCTTTTCCAAGTGGAAAAGACTGCTGAACATTAGTAGTTGGTCGGAGCAGTTTGCGCCTAACCGACGGGCTAGTCCCGTAGAGTTTTCTGAGATTTTTCATATGTCTAACATCTAAATAGTGACTAATTTCCCTTATAAAGTCCTCCCGGGAGACACTACTCCTTAGCAATTTCCCATGCAATTGCTGCATATTCCTTCAACCCAGTCCAAACAAATTTCGATTCGCGGAATGCTAGAATGTTACAGGCCAGATTATTCCCGGACATTCCGTATTATCAGGTGCTGGATTAACGAACTTCTACTGTAAATAGTAAAAACAAAGACAAAATGTTTTAAATCCGTTTCGATATTTTTCTGTTAATTGTAAATGTTTGCATAAGTGTCTATACAATCACCTGAGGTTACTTGAAATCGAACCCATATTTACGCAGAATTTTGTTTTACGCGCTACCTGCTGACAGGCAAATCCTGCGTAAAAATACTTTAATATACAATAAATATATTATGACTTATTTATAATTAACTAAAAAAATATAATACATAAAATAATATCAAGGTAATAATTATATTTTATATATGTTTTTTTGTTATTTGATTAATTAAACTGAAAATTTTTATACATTTATTACAATATTTTTCATAGTAGTGTTTAATTTTTTTAAAATAATAAACTTCGAAATTATTTAAATTTAATTTTATTGTAGATTCTGAAAAATATAAGTTCAGTTAAATGAATAAATTATAATATATATAAAAATATATATTCTAAGCTATACAAATTTATTTTTTAATGTTCAATCTTGAATTTTATTAAAATTATAATTATACAATCTTATTTTAATGTTGTTCTTTTTATTGTAAATAACAGTTTAAACGAACATAAATTAATGTATTATAAACTAAATTATTGAAGCGAAAAACTTTATAACAACGAATGGTTGCAAATTGTAGAAATATAAAGAATTGATCCTCTTCGTTTCTATAGCAAATGAAAGGATAAGGGATTCTCAATCTATTATCCTTTCATTTGTTGGCCACAAAATTGTTAGCCATCGTGAATTTATTATTCACGATGGCTAACAATTTTTTGGATTCAACCTGTTCATAATGAACAAAATTGAAGCAGATTTCATGTTTATTGAATATAATCTGACACACAATCCCCTAATTCTTTATCCTCTCACATTATCCTTTACTAACACAGAACCTGTTCCTCTACAGATAATAATTAAACTTAGGAAAAGTAAAAATTGAAGAGAAGGATGCAATATCCCGTAACTAGCTTTTCATATGCCCTGTGCAGAATTTTATTTTTGACTCTCTATTTTGGAAAAATATATAAAGAAACAAATACGATAGAAATGATAGGTTATTTTTTAACGTCAACAAAATAAAAGTTGTCGAATTTGGCCCTCAAGGTGGCTAGCCCTATTTTAGTACCTCCCCTTTGTTATGGGTCATGTATTGTGCACCTGTTGCACCTGCCTAGTTATGGCACTGGGAGAAGAGGGAATCAGTTACTGTTCATTACGGGGAATAAAATTATACTAAGAAGAAACTATGATTAAAGTTCAAGAATGATTTAATTTAAATAATAATTGTTATTTTATTTAAATTTAGGATACTATTTATTAATTTTCATCTTTATTTTTATAATAAATTAAAATTTATTAAAACGCTACAAGTTTTTCTATATTATTAATGGATTTATAAAATATTCTATTATATATATATATTTTAAAAATATATTCAATTTTCCTTATTTATAAATCGTTAATTCACTTATGATTCTGGTTTCGAATTTTTCCTTCAACATAATGTTTGTATATTATATAGGAATTTTTTTAAACTTGAAAAATTCTAAATATAGATTGTAAATAATTATATTAACAAAAGAAAGAGGAAAAATTAATATTCAGTAGAGTGTCACATCATTTATTTAACTGTTCTATTTATATATATCAATTTGCATTAATAAATAAGGTACAATATGGTTTATTTCATATATATGTCGCATACTAATTGTTTTGTATATTAATACATGTAAATGTTTAAACACTATATTTTCATTTTATTATTTTCTTTTATAATTTATCCTTATATTTAAGTAAACTGTGTATACTGTATAAATACATTAAGTATAGTTGCTAATTAAGTTAATTACTATAAAATACACATTAAAACCATTTAAATCATTACTGAAATATAAAATTTAATAAATAATATGACTTTTTATCTACAAATAAATTTTTTATACATAGAAAAACACACCAAAACAAAACCTCATTTAACATATAATTAATATAATATAACTGATTGCATAATACTTTAATTAGTGTATTGATAAGTAATTAGCTTACAGAATGCCTTCAAACTGTGACAAACTTTTTAAAATTTGAAATCTTCTTGTCATGGAAAATAAGATGAAATGTTTTGTTTTTAGTTACAAAGATGAATACTTTGGTATTTTATCAAAGTAGTTTATGCTCTAAAATATTCTGTACTATTTTTAAGTAATATCTTATCACTTGACAAGATATTAATTAAATTTTTGCTTTAAAAATGCAAATTTAATGCTTAAAATTTGTATTATGATAAGCAAGAAACAGTTATCTTTAATAAATTTTGTTAAGTTTTCAATAAATGTATAATTTTTCTCATGAATAACCTCATAAATTACACAGCTATTTGTAGTACAGGTTGTGTTGATAATCTTAATATGGCTGTTAAAAATTAAATGTCTTAGAATTTTTTTGAGTTTAGTGTATAAAAAATTATATCATTAATTAATTATATTNCTTAGATCAGGGGTGGTGAACATATAGCAAGAGTGCCCAAAGTGGCACACAAGAAATTATCTGGCATGTAACATATACAATTTCAATTTATCATCTGTCTTTTTCAATCATCCATTTGGTTTACCACCTGATTGTTCTTTTTACTATCAGTTTTTTACAATTATTCTAATTAAAGCATATTCGTTTAATTTCTTTAAATATTGTTATTCAAAGTCTAAAATTTTGGCATGCATTAACATCTTTAAAACCAAGTATACTTACTATATGACATACTATGATTGATAGTGTTTTACAGACCTTAGAACAGTGTTTCTCAACCTTTTTTGATTATGCCCCACCAAAGCATCTTTAAAATCCTGATGTCCTCTGTGACAAAAAACATGGTGTCTTTGAAAAAGAAAAGTAAAAGGAAAGGACAGTTCAAGTACTGAGAAGAAAATCATCAAGAAATTGTTAAATAATAGTAATATTAATTGAGGCGGAGCGTTAGCGAATTCTTTTCAATGTGACTTATAGAATTGAGTTTGTTCTCACGATTTGATCGGTCGATATTCATTAAACTTTGTCACTTTACATAATATCAGACGAGGAAATTAAAAATGTACTAAAAATCGGAAATTCCTGATTTTTATTATATTTTCAAATCGTTTTCGAGGTACAGTGGGGTCAAGGTGATTATGTCCAAGGTCACTAGCACGAACACGCGCAATTTTTTAAATTCTTTTTTATTTTATATTTAAGTCAATAATAATGTTTCGGGCCATTCAATTTTTATTGACCTTGCCAGCTCTTCAACTCAATTCTTAGTTCGTGTTCGGACAGAAAACTAACTGTGTCTAGTATCAATAAAATAAATTTTTTTAAATATTAGATTAAAATAATTTAATTTTTATTACAGCTAGCCTTTTATTTATTAAATTGTTTATATTTTAAAAATGTGCTTCTTAGTAATTTAGATAAGATTCCTAAGAATTCTAGTTATACTAATTTTTACGGACCATACAATATTTCAAAACATATCCTACAGAAAAGTAAAAGCTATCCTAAGGAGAGTAGAATTAACGTTTCGTGTACCTAGGCTACAACTTTTTTGTCACTTCCTTAAGTAACAATATTCCTTAATAATATATAAAGAATAGTTTTTAAAATAAAATTATATTTCTTGTCTTTAAAATTACATTAATATACCTATAAGAATTTTACAAAAAAAATAATTTGGTATTTTAAAACGTTTGCTTTAGCCTACTTGGCCTTATGGAGTATCCATCCTGATCCTAATGTTTTAGTTATCCTAATCTCTAGGATTTGATGATAATGTAAGAAATAAGATTTCAGGTTTATNCTTTATCTGATTTACCTTTTCAACACATAGAAGGATTGGGGTTCCGACGATTGTTGAATCATGTTGTTCCAAATTATGTTCTAAAAGGCAGGAAATATTTTACGGAACTTGTTTGCAGCGAACTTTACGATAAAGTGTCATCGAAAATAAAGATCATGTTGAAGGATTTTGAGAAAGTTTCCTTTACATCAGATATCTGGTCAGATTCTTCGTCAGGAGTTTCATTATTATCCTTAACATGTCATGGTATTACAAAAGATTTTATAAGAAAAAATATCGTTTTGAAAGCGGAGATTCTTGACGAACGCCACACGGGAGATTACATTTCGGCAATATTTCAATGTATGCTCGAAGAGTGGGGAATCCCAAAACAGAATGTGCACTGCATAGTAAGAGATGGGGGATCCAACATGAAGCGTGCCTGCACTTTATCTGACATAAATAATATTGACTGTACAGCACATCAGCTGCATCTGGTGGTCAAAGAAGCTATTAAAAATGTTGATGCAATATCCATGTTACTTACAAAATGCAGAAAAATTGCAGGACATTTCAACCATTCTACAATGGCAAAGCAAGAATTAGAAAAAATACAAGTTCGACTCAATCAAAGAGTTTTAAAAGTTTTGCAAGACTCGCCGACACGCTGGAATTCCAGCTATTATATGTTGGAAAGACTTGATTGCATTAAGGATTCGTTGTCGCTTTATTCTACTAATAATAAAATAGAACAGTTTGATGCCGAAGAGTGGATTTTAATTCAAGAATTAGTGAGAGTACTGAAGCCTCTGGAGGATACCACAAAAAAATTGAGCGCACAAAACATATGTATATCCGACGTTATTCCTCTAGTACGAGCATTAAATAAATTGTATGACGAGATTCAAATTTCTGCTAATAGTGGGGAAACTCTCAACATCAGCACACCTGCCGTTCTTGATTTTTTGTCTTCTTTGAAGAATGAATTAGATTATCGTTTTTCTGAAATCGACAAAAATATATTGTTCCAAATAGCAACATTTTTAGATCCACGTTACAAAGGTAAATTTTTCAGTGATTTTCTTATCAAAGATATAAAACAGAAACTACTTACAGCTTTAGAAACAGAAGTAAATATCACAACAACTACAACTAGCACAGAAAAATCAAATGCTGTAAGAAAAGAATATTGCAACAATTTAGAAGACTCTATGGCTAATATGTTAGATAGTGACGATGAAGATGAGGAATCTGAAAACCAAATATCATACACTAATGCTAATTTGCTCACAGAATATGCCAAAGAAAAAAGATTATCAAGAGACCAAGATCCATTAAAGTATTGGGAGATTAATAGTAAAAAATTTGGAGGTCTTAGTCACATGGCTCGCACATATTTATCATCACCTGCAACAAGCGTTCCAAGTGAGCAGTTTTTCAGTGCAGCAGGAATTATTTACGATCCTCATCGTAATAGACTTTTGGGGGATAAAGCTGCCAAGTTACTCTTTTTGAAGTACAATTTACCATTAATTAATTTTGATTATGACATTTAATTTTTTTGAAGTTTCTAAAATTGTGATTATTTTATCTGATAATTTGATAATTAAAATTCTTTGATAATTATTATAATATAATATAACCGTGATGATTATTTCAATTAGCATTAGAGGTTTGATCTCACTATAAAGATAGTTAAATTAATACCTTATACTGGTAACTTATAATTAATGTTTAAATATTTAATTTTTGCAATATAAAAGTGCCAAATATGTGATTTTAATAAATAAAAAGTGATTTGAATTGAAGTTGTTAGTATTTTATTGCTCTCTCTCTTTAAAATTTCATATAAGTAATGAAAATCATTAAGATAAAAGATCCGTTAAAGATCCGCTAAAAGGTAACGGATACGGATACGGATACGGATCTTTTTTTTCCCTCGGATATCCGCGGATACGGATACGGATACGGATATCCGGAACATCACTATTTTTAATATGTACATCGTAGTCATATAAGTAATTTTGTTCGTATATAATAGCCTTAAGTAAAGTTCGAAAATATGTCATATTGGTTGTGTTTAAAACTGTGTTACACTGAAAGTATCTGTGGAAAGAACAGGCCAATCATATAAAAGCAACCAGAAAATAAGCAAAATTTATTTAAGCTTATGATGTTTGATTCCCATTGCTCTAAGTATTTAGGAATAGAAATGAACTTTTAGAGGGAGTAAATAGGTCAAAGGAAAATGTCCTTAATGACATAATATTGTAGCTGTAGATTATTTAATAGTGTTTTACAAAGATATATAATAGTAAATACGTGAGCCTTTCACAGCCCAGCACACACATTTATAAAATCTAAGTGACTCATACAACATGGAATTCACATAAAACGGAATAATCAACAGTGTTATAGGGGGGTCAACTGTATATTCCGAAAAACAGCACCCAAAGAATATCAAAATACCTCTTTGTTATTTAGCATCAAAGATTAAGTGTTTCTTGATTATATCTTATCTGAGAGTTAATTATATTTTCCAAAAAATAATTTTTTTTAATTACACTTTTTTTTTTATCTGTACTTTTCATATTACATATTATATATACAATACATTTTACAATGTATGTTATACATTATACATACAATATCAATGGCATGCCATTCATGGAAGCTGTGGAAGTGCCACTTCCCTTGTATTTTTTAAAATATAAATCCATATTGTACGATTATTTTCATATTTTAACATACTTTGAATCAATTAAAATTATTTTATTGTAACCGCATTATGGATCTTATTACAAATTTCTATACTATATGTGAAAAAAAAAAATGACAAGATTGCCATTGTACATTCGAATATAAATTTGTGTATACATATTCCCAACGGAAGTGCTGTATTGTTGAATACAGGACAGTGTCCGTGGCGAAAATATTTAAATCGTGTAAAGCAGCCAGATTACATGCATTTACACATGCACTTTACAGAGCACCAACCTCACATGGTTTAGCTTGTCATTGCTACACACCAAAATATCGTATAACGCTTTCAATGATTCTATCTGGGGCCGACACAGCTTCCCTAACATCAAATGTCACCACACACCACTGTACAATATACATTTTGCAATGTTAGTCATACATCTTTTTATGTCATTATATAAATATTCCAGTTATAATCAGTTATTAGATGATAGTTTGGCTGGTAGAATATTGAGCTAATTCCCTAAAAATTGGCATTTCAAAGTTATATAAAAATTTACATTTTTCTGTACTTGATAATTTACTTATTTAAATCTATAAATAATCATATAATCAATGTAGTTTTCATGATTTACAAGAGTTTAAACTTCTAATAGCAATGTCTTTTACTTTGATTCATTTTAATAAACATGTGCATATATCAAATTATATTCAATATATAAGAGAATATTTAATTTGATAATAAGTACAATACATGACCATTATGTTGCACATATGTAGAATATATCTACTTCCATAGAGAAGTTAGTATTAAGGATCTTAAGTTTATAAAAGTGATTATAAAATTTGTTATTACATAGCCTTTACTTAATTTCTTAATCATAGAATACAGAAGTTACTCTTTGATTTTTCAGTTTTGTTACTTGAGAAATGTTTATTAACTTTTCCAATTTTTATGTATAGAGCAATATTAAAAAAAACTTGAATTTGCATGCACATTTAATGAACACTGTCCTAACATTTCACTGCTACTGATGAAATGGCTTAGTTAATAAATGGGACAAGCAGATCACATTAACAAACATTAAATTAATTATATGGTAGTAGTCATAGAGATCAAAAAGTATATTTTTTTTTAATGAAAATCTTTGTTATAACATAATATAATAAAATAGGGCTGTTATATTTTTATAATTTCTTTTATATAGATTAATATAATAAATTTGAATTCAATCATTTAAATCCTATAATCGTTCTTAGAAAGATATGTCTGAATAAAGTAAAAAGTATTTTAAGCCAAATATTTTATTTATGTTATTTTAAAAAAGCATTGTTGGTTCTTTATTATTTTCTCTCTTAGATCTTTGACAAGCATTTGTAATTTTGGTGTTATTTATTTATTTGATTTTTCAGTCCTTGGTAGAGGAGAAAACATAAATCCAAAACAAAATGCTTGTAACACAATGATATGCTGGGAAGATATAAAGCCTACCTACTATATTTTCTCTTCCTATATAATTGTAGAAAAGTGAATTTTAAAGATATTTCCAGTTACTGTAGGTCTATTGAATTACAAGATTAAATAAAATAACTTTGATATATAAAAATAAAAGGTTCAGGCAACAGAAATTCTTAAAAAACAAAAAACTTTATTAGAATAGTTACCTTTAAAATTAGATTTTCTATACTTCATAGTAACAAAAATTGTAATTATTACATTTACAAAATATCAAATTCAATAAAGTGCAATTAGTCTTAGATTGATTAGCAAGGTAAAAAGAATCTAACACAAGAAAAGCTTAATCAACATTCCATTAACTTAAAAAAACTATTCAAAGATCTTACTCTTTCATAGCTGATTAACATAAAAATGTAATTTATCAGCTTTACTATTATCTTTAATGCACTTTAATGACATCTTATTAATTTGTATAAAGTTTTTAAATTGTACTTTGATTTAAAAATAATCTTTAATGATGAATATTCATTAATTTGTTAAAATATTTATTCATTTGTCATACTGTACAAATAAATATAAATTAATTTTATTTATAATTTTGGTATTTTTGTGGAATGCATTTCCAATGATTATTATTACACACATTAGATAGCAAGTTGAGAGCCATTAAAATAGCTGTTGAGATTTAAAAGAACACTCCCCAAACATATGATGTAGAATATGAAAAAGCAAATAACTTTAAGAATACTTTTAAAAATAAAATTCTCATGCTATCTCCCAAAATTTGTGTGTGTTGAACCGCTCTTTGATTTCTTTAAAATTAATAAATAAAGCAAAACTTTTTTTCGTAATGTTCTTATTATACAATTTTTTAATTTGAAAATTTTTAAATTTCTGACAGTGATAGTTACATAATTTCTAANATTATATTCTCCAATGATTCAAAAAGTTTTATTTATAATAGAAAAAAACACAAAATTATTAGGAAAATAAGAGAATCTATCCAATTCTTTTATGCATCATCTTAACTTAGTTTGTACGAAATAAAAATATTCGTGATCATTCGAGCGATAAGAATCAATTTTCCGAACTTAAAAATTGAATGTGATTTATGAAAATCAAAATATGATTTTGTTTTGTTTATATAAAAATGGAGAAAAATCTTAGTACGGTTAGAACTAGATTGACCTTGGCCCGAGGGGTTAATGAACAGATAAAAGCGAACGGTTGAATACATTTGACCTATATATGGCCCACAATATATTATGCACCATATATAATATATACTATACGTCACGATTCTTTTCACATTCATTGAAAAGCATCTCTTGCGTGCATCCCATCCAAATCCTTGTAGTTCCTACTTCTCAGAGGAGAAAGAGAAAGAGCATATTAGAATAATACACATTTATATTTTGTAGTAAGTAAATTTTTCTTATTTTATATACATATCTATATAAGATTTTAACAGTTAAATTTATGTAATGTGATAATAAGGTTAATATCAGATTATAGTTTAAAGCTCTTTGAAGTAACACTATAAATATGTGTTTGATGTATCATTTGATGCTACTTGTATCTTAAAATAATTATACGAAAATATGTTCAATAATGTTTTCTAATTGACGTTTGTTTCTGCTCCAAAAATTCTTTAATGAGTCTGTACAGAATTTTTATAATGAAAGGAATCAAATTGCTTTACTTTCTCTTGTCACAGTTGAGATCTAAGGAAGAGAAACCAGTCGAACATCTCAATAAGTCAACAAGTTTCGATATAGATCTTGCAATAAATAGAACACGTCAATTTTATAAGATTTGCTATTTTAAATTGACTTTTACTCGTCGGTTTTTATGCTTTTTATGATAGAAAAATTTATTTTTTAAATATTCAAAAAATCATAATAAATATTCAACTACGCTTGCTTTCAATATAAGAATGGAATTTACAGCTTCGTTACTGTAAAAATCTATA